TGTTACTGGGATTGAACTTTGGGCCTTTCCATTGAGTTACATCCCTAGTCCTTTCAAAAAACGTTTCATTACAAGACAGGATCTTGCCAAGTTGCTGAGTTGCTCACACTGGGTTGTAGCTTGCAATCCTCCTGCCTCAGCCTCATGAGTGCTGAGATTACAGGCATATGGCACCATCCCCAGCAGCCTCATATTTGAAATATATCATTCACATAAATCACAAGCATACAGTAAATCTCATGTAGCCAGTGTCCAAATCAAGAAACAAAATATTTCTAGTCTAGTTTACAAATATGGGGGCCGGGGATTTAGCTTAGTGATTCCGGCGCCTGCCTCACAAGCACAAGGTCCTGAGTTCGATCCCCGGTACAAAAAAAAAAAAAGAAGAAGAAGAAGCTTTCATTGTGCTGGCTTTGGCAGCACATATACTAAAAAAGTTTACAAGTATGATTTTTTTTTTTTTTTGCAGGGGTTGGGGGTGGTTCCTGGGGATCAAACTCAGAACCTTGCGCCTACAAGGGAAGCGCGGTGCCACCGAGCTAAATCTCCGGCCCACAAACATGATATTTTAAAGTATGCAGTTATTTTTAAAACTAGTACAGAAATTTAAGTGACTAAAATTTTTTACATTTATGATACTTAGGAAACTGGGTTTATCCAGAAAGAACTTAGGTTCCTGTTTTTCTCACAATAAATTTAAAAGTAGTTAACTTACTTTTACCTTTGTGTGAGGATTTATTCTTTTGTAGTCCATTAGCTATCAGTTCCCACTTATGCTACTACAAAGAAAGCATTGCATTTGGACTCTCATCAGTGTTTCCAGACATATCTTTTTTTTGCTACCAGGAATCGAACTCGGAACCTTGTGCTTGTGAGGCAGGCGGCGGAACCACTGAGCTAAATCCCTGGCCCTCTAGACACATCTTAACTTATAGAAGGTGTATATTTTTTATAGTAGAGCAAAATTTTGTGTCGTTTTAAAATTTTATCTTAATATTCACCTGTATTTTTAAATATATTGGTCCAATTGGCACTGGGCAGAATTCGCATACTTTATTTTATTTAATATTCCCGTGTATTTTAAAATAAGAGTTGTGTTCCTTCAAGGATATTTCTCGCCACACCCTTATTCTTTGCCAACAGCCCTAGGATGTTTCTTTATGACATTTGTGTACTCCTTCCGCACATCTGCTTTGAAGCCGGGCAGCCTGCGTTTGAACCCCAAGTCCTGTTTACAAATTGAATAGAAGGCAAATTACTTGTCCTTTCTAAGTATCTTCTTTTTCCTCTTCACCAAAACACCCTTTACATTCCGACCCCTTAATGTAGTGCCTGCTCCTACTAATCACTCCATAAATTAGAACTATTACGATCTTTTTAATCACTATCTTCCAACTTCCCCTTAAGAGTTCCTGCTATTTTTGTTTCTTTAGTTGCTTGTACCATTTCCATTCCTTTCCTGTTATTTCCATGACATCCCCAATTTGCCTTCCACCGTAACAAGAGCAGAAGTGTAGGTAGCTCAATGTCCCCTGCAGCCCCCAAATCTGAGATTCCAGTGAAGCCTTGTGGCCACTTAGCAGGTAGCATCCTGCCTCAGGAGAGCACAGAAAAGCCATACCTCAATGTCAGTGTCACACACAGGCTGGAGGAGATTCTGACCTAAACCACATGCTGGGACATTTCTGTTTGCTTGGTAAAAGTAGAGGAGATATTACACTAGCATAGGCTACAAATATGCAAGGTATAATAACCCAACTTCTAGCCAGGGTAGTCTGTTCTCTGTAGGAATGTGAATTTTGTTCAGCTTTCCAGTACCTCATGAGGAATGAAGAAAAACAGGCTTGTCCAGTGCTGGGGCTGTCTGGAAGGATATTTGAAACTGACTGCCTTTTACTACCTGTCTGGCAACATCACAGAGATCAAATTGATTTCCAAGGAGTTCTGATTAGTGTAGAACTGAGAAGATCGTTATAAAATATGGAGATGTTTTAAGGCGGACAGAAGCAGTGGGTGGGAAGTATGTGGAGAGAGGATGGATTTAAGAATAGAACAATATTACATTAAGGAGGGAAGAAAAGCAAGGTAGGAGGCAGGGTACTTGGTTGCTAGGCAGCTATGAACAGGGTTTTTGGTGTTGCCTGAGTAACAGGAGAAGAGGATAATGAGTACTTGAGGATTTTTTTAGTAATCACCTAGTAATAAATACCTCCTTTCCCTCTCCTTTGACACCCTATCTTCCCTAATAGCCACTTGAATACCCCACTTACTACTTTGAGAACAAGCTAAATAATTTGAAAGTCAAGTGTTTGACAGACTATCCTCAAGTGACAATGTCTTCTTAAAGTCAATCAAACCTCTGTTGGTTGTACATTTTAGATTTGCTTATAATTTGCTCAACTATTTACTTCTAGTTGTCCAGAAATGACATCTTCCCAGATTTAAGAAAAAACATTTTATTATAGAAAATGTTGAATACATACAAATACATACAAGTAGAAAGTATATACACAAGTAGAATAGTGTAAAATCTCCATATATCTGTATCCAGTTTCAACTGTCATTATCTCATGATAAATCCTGTCTCTTTACTATCTCTACCCACAATTTTCCCTTTAGTTCCCTGCACCCCCTCGCAATTTCTTGGGCTTAGATTATTTAGAAGCATAGTCTAGATATTATATCATTTTATCAATAAATAATTCAGTATGAAACACTAAAATATGAGGACCTTTGGGTTTTTGTTATTGTTTGGTTTTTTGAGACAATGTCCTCTTTAGCCCAGGCTGGCCTTGAACTCAATCCTCCTGCCTCAGCCTCCTGAGCGATGGGATTACAGGTGTGCACCACCACACCTTCCAAATAGGAGGATTTAATAAAACACAAAAACAGTGTCACACTTAAAAAATATAGTAATTCCTTAATGTTATCAAACATGTACTCAGTGCTCTAATTTCTGATTGTCTGCTTTTCTTTTCCAGTTGATTTGTTTGAACTGAGATTCAAGAAGGAATCACACATGTAATTTATTGATATGTCTGTTAGCAGTCCTCCATCTCTATTTTTCCTCTTGCAATCTAATGGTTGAAAACAATAGTGTACATGTATGTACTGCAGTTTCCCAGTCTGGATTTTGCAGATTGTGCCCCCGTGGTGTAGTTGAATACCTTTCTTTGTTGTCCTGTATATTTTCTGAATACTGTTAATTAGGGCTACAGAGGCCCACTGGAATCAGGCTTGAGCTTTTTTTATTTTATTTTATTTTTTTTTTTGCAGGAATACTGCATAGAGGATATTGTTTTATTCATCAGAAAGCATATAATGTCTGATTATGTATCTTTTTATAAAATTGGCAGCCACAAGAAATTATTGTGAAATTAATTAAAATGATTTCTTCTTTTACTAACTGAAACTTTCCCCAACCTTGAGATATTTTTCTATATGTTGCTGGGTCTACTTCCACATTTTTTGTTCTGTCTCATTAGTCTGTCTAGTCATCTGCCAGGACCATGCTGTCTTTATATTAAAGGGTTTAGAGCATTTTAATATCTTATTCTATCTGGTAAGGCTAGCCTCTGTTTTCCTGGCTATTACTTGTTCTTCCGAATGAACTTAATAATCAACTTTTGTAACTTAGGGAAGAAAAGCTAATGATTTTTTTCATTAGAAGCACATGAAATGTATAAATTTATAGAATATGGTATCTAATCATACTTAGGATGTTGGCTTTTCTTACTGAGAACATGGTCTATCTTCCCATTTGTTGATATTTACATTATGTGTTTCAGAAGATTTTATTATCTGCTTACATTAATTTGCTACAGCTGCTATCACAAATCACCCCCACCTTGATGGTTTACAACAGTAAAAATGCTTTCTCTCTCAGTTTTGGAGGCCAGAAGTCTGAAATCAGTTTCACTAAACCTAAATCAAGGTGTAGGCAGAGCCATGCTTCCTCAGAAGCTCTAGGGAAGAATATGTCACTTGCCTACTCCTGGTGGCTCCCAGTATTCCTTGGCTTGTGCACTAGGGTCAGCCCCTTCTTCCACATCACTGCCTCCTCTTCTCTGTGTCTTTCTTTAAGAATATTTATGATTGGGGCCAGGGATCTAGCTCAGTGGTTCTGCCCCCTGCCTCGCAAGCAGAAGGACCCGAGTTTGATCCCCAGTACCAGAAAGAAAAAAAAAAGAATATTTATGATTGTATTTAGGATTCACCCAGATAATCCAGGATTGTATTTGGAGTCTACCCAGATAATTTCAGGATCCTTAATTTTTTAGTGTGGGGTGCAGTGGTGTTGTTGGTACTGGGGATTGAACCCAGGGCTTTCACACTGAGCTACACCCCCACTTTAATTTATTTTTTATTTTTTATTTGGAGAAAGTGTTTTGCTAAGTTGCTAAATTGCCCAGGCTGGACTTCAATTTGCAACTCTTCTACCTAAGCCTCCCAAAATGCTGGGGTAACAGACTTGTGCCAGCACACATGGCTTCAGGGACCTTAAAGTAGTCACATCTGTGAAGATGCTTTTTCCTGATAAGGCAACATTTACAGATTCTAGGGATTAGCACCTAATAGTATCTTTGGATATTCATTATTTAGCCTGTTATAATTCCTCATATAGATTTTAGACATGTCTTTTAGAACGTATGATTAGATTCTTTGTTTCATTTTTGTAATGCAAATGGAAACTTTCTCATTATATCTTCTTTCTGATTAGTATTTGTGTACTGATTTTTTCCCCCCAGTTCTGGAGATAGAACCCAGGCCCTCATGCTTGCTAAGCAAACACTGTACTTCTGAATTATATCCCCAACACTTGAATATTGATTTTGCTCATTTTAAGTGAGAGTTGACCCGGTATCAAAAATTCTTTGCTCCTTGTTCCTTTATTTCCACTTTTCAGTAAATAAGAAACAAACTTAGGTTAGTAGATTCTGTCTTTGTGTCACATAAGATAATAAATGTTACCATTATGCATTTGATTTTTTCCCCCTAAGGCTTAACTGTGTCACCTAATGAAGAACGAAACTTGAATCATTATGTGCAAGTTTTAGAGAACCTAATACTGAGGGTTCCCACGAAGGAACCAGACGGGGAGAAAAAATCAGTGTCTCCAAACCATGTCTATTCTCCAGATCTGCCCGTGTCAAGACCTAAGGCACTCAGCACTCTCAGAGACGCTCTAACTGAGAACACTGATCCCACCAATGGACACAGTACAGCTTTCCCTGCTACAGGCCCCACACAGGGGCCAGAGAGCAAGAAACCTACCGAAAGCATGGCCTTCTGGTCGATCAGACCCAACAATGTTTCTATTGTTTTGCACACAGAAGAACCTTATATTGAAAAGGAACCAGAGCCAGAGCCTGTTATGAAACACACCGAGGCCCCCAGATCGTCCCCGTTCACCACCAGGTCCTCCACGAGTCCTCCTGTCATCACCACACCTTCAAGCACAGACCTGGAGATGTCTACAGAGTCTGAAGATGTTCCCCAACTCTGGGGCGAGAACCTCGAAGAGTCAACTGAGCATCATTCACAGGCTATGAATAATGATGACATTTTGAGAAAAATCTCATGTATCCACTCCCAGCTGCAACAGCCATCCCTGAATGACAAGAACGATCCAGAGTATAAAGTGGAGATTGAGGCCTTTATGGAGAACTTGAAAGGAAGTCTTGCTCTGGCAACAGCAGCAGAGCACAGATTAGAAAAGATGTATAAATCCCATGTCTTTTCAGAAGGACAAACCAGTGAGAGGACTTATGACATTGAAACTGTTATTAACATGCTATATAATTCTAGATGTAAATTATCAAAATATTTAGATATTAAATATGTTCCACCAGAGATGAGAGAAAAGGCAACCACAGTATTCAATACTTTGAAAAACATATTATGGGTAGGTCAAGAAGACACTAAAAACCTTATTAAGAAGTTATTAAGAAACAATAGGAAGGGCCGGGGATTTAGATCAGTGGTTTCGCCGCCTGCTGTGCAGGCACAAGGACCAGAGTTCGATCCCCGGTACCAAAAAAACCCAAACAATATAAAAATGTTGAGCCTGCTTGATACTCCATGACAATATTAATTTAAGCAAACTGCATTCATTCACAGGAAAACAAGCATATTAATGATTTCTAGAGTTGTATATTTTCTTATGTAGTTCAGTGTACTAACATCTTTATATGCCATATGTAATGAAAATTTTTATATGCACTGAAAACCTAATAATTTAAAATAAAATTTTGGTTTTGGAGTTAGTAGTTTTTCCTCATTAATTTAAAAAGTTGTGGAGATCTAATCTTTAAAATAATTAAGCTTTAATTTTACTCCAGTAGCTAAATTTGCCTGTTTTCTGGTCAAAAGACTATTTATATTCTCTGTGTGCAGCCAGTTTTAAATAATTGCATATAAATATAAAATTTTCAGGTATATGGTTTTTATTACTCTTTCAAAGAATCTCAGTTTTCTCTCTGAATAGCATAGTTGGGGATTGTATCAGAAGTACTTTTATTTGGATATACTTGTGCCTCTTTTGAAAGGTGAATGATAGATCAAGATACATCCCTGTTCTTTCATTGTTAAGTACTTTGGGAATATCAATGAGAGATTGTAACCTGGATTTATAATGAAGTCATTCTCACTTATTTTTTCTCTTTTTGTTTGTATACATATGCATTGAAACTTTGTAAACCTTTTGACAGGAAGTCTGATTGACACCATTAAGATTAACTGTGTAATATTATTGTGCCAGTAATTCCGTTTCATGATTTCATTCAAATCACTTACTTATTCATTCATTAAGCCACTCATTTATAGTGTAATAAAAACTTATTGACCTTTTACTAGGACAAAATGCTAGGCTTTAGGCATATAATTTTAAGACCCATGTCCTTTTTTCCTTGAGACTACATTATAGCAGAAAAGATAGGCATTAAACAAATAATTTTAGCAATTTAAAAATTGTAGTTGTGACAAGTTGTTATGAAGGTGAGATATTTGATCTTATCTAGCCTAGGAACTGTGGGAAAGCTACCCTGAGAAAATGGCATTTAAAGTTACATCTGAAAGATGAATGTGTGTTTACGGGGTCAGGAGCATTCCAGGCAAAGGAAGCAGGGTGTGTGAATGTCGGGTTAAGAATAAACAAGGCAAGTTTAGGAAGTGCTTGGAATAGAGGAAAGTCAGGAAGAGCATTTCAGGATGGAGTGGTGGAATATTCAAGGTCAGAATAGAACCTGAAGACCTGACCATGCGTATTGAAAATGTTGGCCCTTATTCCCTGATCAGTGAGACACTATAAGTGGCTTTTAAGCAAAGGACTGATATGGTCGAATTTATATTGTGTGTGTGTTTTCAAAACAACACAGGCTACATTTTAGAGGTAGGCAAAAGTAGACATGTGCTGTGCCCAAGCCAAATTTAGCTTGAAGTAGAAGTGGCATTAACAGAATTTGGTGACTGAATGCATATGTGTAATTGAGTGAGTAACAAGAGATCAAAAATAATTCCCACACAGCAGTATCATAAACAGAATTACATAGTTCTTATTTCATAAAAGAACTTTACTGTTGATCCTTATTTTTTTAATTGCTATGGAAAATTTTAAACATTTGCAAAAGTAAACAATACTATAGTGAACTCATGTACCCATGATCCAATTTCAATAATTTTGTACTAATAGCCAGTCTCCTGTCCTCTATACCTCCACTCCTTCCTCTCTTCTCATATATTGAATTAAATCCCAGATACTTATATCACTTAATCTCTAAATATAATAATGTAAAGCTCCATATGCTTTTTAAAAACAATATAGCAATATCATAAATAAAAATTTAATGATTCCTCAATATTGTCAAGTATCTAATCAATATTTAAAATTAATAGGCAGTTGAAAATTTGGAATTTCTCTATGAATCAAGGTCAGATATGGTTCACACATTGAGATTGGTTGCTTTGATTCATAAGTCTCTTCTAGCCTAAGGATTTCCTTTACTTCTCTTTATTCCCCTTATTGAAGTTTATTTATTTATCAAACAAACAGGTCATTTGTCCAACAGTTTTCCATAATGTGGGTCCTGCTGATTCCATCCCCCTAGCGCCTTTAGCATGTTCTCCTGTCCTCTATGTTTTCTGCAAATTGGTGACTTTGATCTAGAGAGGCTTCATTAGACTGCTTTGTGTTTTTCTTTATCTTTCTTTTTTTACAATATATAGTGATTTATTATCTAGTCATGTCTCTTTTTAAATTTTTACCAGATTTTGATGACCATTACCTAGATGGATTAATAAATCAGGTGATGTATAGTGGAGATAGTCCTTCCTTTATTAGCTAAATAAGTCTTTAAAGAGAAATTTTATCTATTATTTGTTCCTTTATGATCCAGTGTGTATTGGAAACACATCAAATGCTTGAATCTTTCTCTTAAACAATTTAAAAAATAATTAGTTCATAAAACTCTCCATTGATGACTTTTTAAAAGCTCTTACTGGGCTTTATTTCTCCTAAAGCAGTTTTAGGTTTAAGAAGAAATTGATCAAGCAGCTCAAAATACCTTTACCTCCATCTTCTCCCCAGTTAGTTTCAGTTAGTTTCTCCCATTTACATCTTGTGCTAGTGTGGTACATTTGTTAAAACTGATGAGCCGACATTGACACATCACCATCCAAAGTCCATAGTTTATACTAAGGTTCCATCCTAGTATTTGTCTTAGTCACTTTCTTGTTGCTGGGACAAAATACCAGACATCCACAATTGAAAGGAAGAGGTTTATTTTGGCTCACGGTTTCAGTCTATACCCAGGTGGCTCTAGGGCAGAAACAGTGTAATGGAAGGCATGATGGAAGAAGAATTGTTCAACCCATGGCAGCCAGGAAGCAGAGAGAGAAGGGAAGAGCCTGACACAAGAATATCCCCTTCCAGGTCATGCCCCCAGTGGCCTACCACCAACCTGTCCCTACATCTTACTGTACATTCAGCTACTGAACTCATCAAAGGATGAGTCCACTGATGAGTGCAGCAGCCCCACAATCCATTTGCCTTCCACATACATGAAAGAATGTTATACATTCTTTGTGTTAGGTCAAATGTGATGAATATATTACCGCCTCATTCCTTGAATTCAGAAATCACTAGACAGTGTTCTTTTTTCTCTCTCTACCTTTTAGAGTTTTCTTGCTTTATATGCAATGTCCAGGAATGTTAGTTTGTTTAGGAATTTGTACTTGATCCTAAAGACAATGAGAATATTTTGTAATATTTTAAGCAAGTCACTCTGCCTGGATTCAAAGTAGATAAAGGATATGAAAGGGCAAAAGTCATTGTAGAGGAAAGTTAGAAGACTATTACAAGAATCTGGTGAAAGATTATGATGTTCTGGACTTGCTGCTAACAGAGGAGATAAAAATAAGTAGTTAAATCTGATATATTTAGGAATTAAGAATCAGTAGAATTTTGTGATTGATGTCCAAGATAAAGAAAAGAGTCAGGAAAGATTTGTTTTTCACTTGAGCCAAAAGCATACCTGCCTTTTTATAGCCTTTCTCACAATTATCATTTTATAGTTTGTATATTATTAACTGTTTAATGTTTATCTCTCCTCACAGGATGGTAAATACTGTATATGAGTTCAGATCCATGAGAATTTTGTTTACTGCTGTAATCCTACCTAGCACCTACCACAATCTCTGGACTGAAATTATATGTTCAATAAATATTAGTACATTATCATACATCTAAAAGGAGAAACATGCTGTGGAGATCACTTTACCAATGTCACTCTTTAATATATTAAAATGTTCAAGGGCTGGGGATTTAGCTTAGTGGTTCCACCGCCTGCTTCACAAGCGTAAGGACCTGAGTTTGATCCCCGGCACCAAAAAAAATAAAATAAAATAAAATGTTCAGGGACCGGGGATTTAGCTCAGTGGTTCTGCCGCCTGCCTCACAAGTGCAAGGTCCCAAGTTTGATCCCCAGTACCAAAAACAAAAACAAAAACAAAAAAATGTTCAGGAGACATATCCCACTTAGATATTGTTATGGCTTGTGTTTAGATGTCCCTCCAAAGCTTCATGTAGTCATAGGTGGAGCTCTTTTTTCAGAGGTGGCTGGATCTCGAGTGTGTGATTGATTCATGGTGCAATGCTAGGATTAAGGGTGTGATTACTAAATCAGTCCACAAAGCAGTTTGGTGCCGCCCTAATCCTGGTAGCCTAGATGGAATATAAAAGGAGCAGAAAAAGCTGCTAAGGTCCCTTGTTGCTTTTGCTGTCTTCTACCTGCCATGAACTGTTTCTCCTCTGTGATGCCTGTCTGCCATGCTGCTTTGGAGCCATGATGCCTTGGAGCCAGCCAATTATGGACTGAAACCTCTACAAATGGGGAGCTAAATAAACCTTTCCTCCCTTTACTTTGGGTGTCAGGTATTTTGTCTCAGCAACAAGAAAAGTAACTAAAGGGGAGCTAAATAAACCTTTCCTCTCTTTACTTTGGGTGTCAGGTATTTTGTCTCAGCAACAAGAAAAGTAACTAAGGTAGATATATTTGGAGCTTGAGAGAAAGCTGTAAATAAGGATTTAGGCACTATTTGCCTATTAATGGAAATTTAAGTCATCAAAGTAAGAAATTTATTATAGAGTTCATAAAAGAAGACGGCCTAGAACTGTCTTTTTTAAAATTAATTTTACTGGTACATTTTAGGTGTACAATATAATGACATTCATCATTGGAAATTTGCACCTTCACATAATCTCTCTTGGTTCTTATTTTTTCCCCATTCCCCTCCCCTCCTTTCAACCCCTCCATACCTCCCTATTTACAAAGACTTTGTTTCCATTCTTCATTTTCTCATATTAATTCCATTCCCTTCTTTCCTTTCCCCTACCCCTCCAACTTCCCCTCCCCCTTTGCCCCTTTTCTTCCTATTTCACATTATCTATTATACCTTTTAGTCCTTATTTACACTTTATTTCTCATGCTAGAGAAACTATTCAGTATTTACACGTGTGTCCTATTTATTTCACTTGAGAGTATCGCCTCAATGTGCATCCATTTAACTATAAATGTCTCTAATTTCTCATTTTTATGGCTGAGTAGTACTCCATTTTATTAAAAAACCACATTTTATTTATCCAGTCTCCAGTTGATGGGCAAATGGGCTGCGTCCAAGTTTCAGCTATTGCAAACTGTACTGCTATGAACATGGGTGCGC